ACCAAATGTATTTTTTGAAAACATAGGGTGTCAAAGTGAAATAGGTGTAAAATTGAGGAATGAAAACTGTATTTTTTTCCACTCCGCCATTCATTCAGATAAACATATTTTCAGTTATCAAACAAACTTAAAAATAAAATTGATAATATTTATTATTGATATTAGTATTAATATATGGAAGCGATCAATACAAAATACATGAAATCATGTACACACAAACATTTACCAGCTATACGATTTCTCCATGTCATTACCCAAACCATCTCCGAAATAGATACCATCATTTTGAACCCCCCAAAAGCACACGCGCGTAGAGCACCTATCTCTCCATTCCGATTTATAAACATCGAACATCAAATATTTCGAACCCCATCGAATACGACAAAAGAATAAGGTGTTGTGAAAAATACTTTCGCAAAACGACCAGTTAAATTCGTTGTTTAAATGAGGGATCGTATGATTTCCGAGATCATCGTTTCCAGATTCGCAGTGCACCGATACCGGTATCTTAGAAGTCGGGATGAGGTAATTGATTACATGAACCTCGTATTCGTGAGAAAACGGACATTTTTTCGACGTTGCTTCTTGGAAAGAAAGAGTTGATAGTAGAATGAGCAAGGGTAAAAGGTTTTTCTTCATCAAATGAGCCATTTTTTTATTTTTATTTTATTTTATTGTGTGCTAGCTATAAATTATATAATGAGATAATTATACTTGCATTAGTAGAAAATTTTGGAAACGATAAAAAAATATTATCCACAAAAGTAAAATCAAATATTGCGTTGACCTTATGTGATTGATAATTGGTCATGATATATTCATATATAAAAGAAATAAATTATGTTTCAATGATAATTTAAAAGGGTTATTTTTGCAATCTAGAGCTTAATTAGTTGTATTGGATTGGCAAAAAATCATGATTATGTCATTAATTGATCATGATTTTATATTCTTTTAAATTTAAAAAAAAAGTAGTCCAAGCCTGATTTATAAAATCATAGTACAAATTATACATTTTTATGGAGATCTCAAAATAAATAAAAATTCACAGAATAAAAAATCGAATTAAATCAAGATTACGTACCAAAAATAGAGTATGTAAATTAGGAGTGTTCGTGTGAAATACTTCTTCATGTTCATAACTCAGTGAGTTGAGTTTGAAACTGAAAAGAGGTTGAAATAGGGAAATTTACAGTTTCCATTCCTCAAATTTGCAACGATTTCACATTTTGTCCCTCGTGTACACAAAAAACACATTTGGTCCCTCATATAGTCATACTTCACTAATTTGACACTTTTGGTCATTTTCGTCGATTTACTGTTAATCCGATTCACTGTTAATCCATCAGATACGGTAGTGATGGGAACACGTTCAGTTCCGTTAGTTTCAGCGGAAAATTGGCGGAAATGACTAAAAGTGTTGAATTTTTGAAATATAAGGAACCAAATGTGTTTTTTGTGAACATGGGGACCAAATGTGAAATTGGAGCAAACTTAAGGGATGAAAACTGTAATTTTTTCCGGTTGAAATATACATATATATATTTGTGAAATTTATTATTCAATTATCTGTAAAAGTTTGGGGCCTCTTTAAGACCTTATGGGCCTACACAAGAACAACAAGTGCCCCTACAATAGCAAAAAAATTCCATGGAAGCTCCTAAGAAACTATTACACAATAGCCCCACAGATGGGTGAAAAAGAAAATCGAAAAATCCTAAGAAAAACTAATATCTTCTGAAATCGCCAAAACGACCCCAAAAATGGGCAGAAATGCATATATGCATAATGCCAGCCACCCTTCGCGATGGATTATCACGGCGCCATCCGAATACATGCTCATCTCCTGTATCTCACAAATGCCAATCAACCTCTACGGAAAACGAGGAACCTCCGCTCGATCGACGAAGAACATTTGTTTATGCACCGGGGAAGGAATATCATGTACTCTGATAAAATCCTTTCTGTCAACATATCCACCGCAATATTTTGCTCCCGGTATATATATGAACGCTACCAATACCCGAAAAACTTTGATGAATCACAAGCTAACCAATACATTTTTCTAGAGCCATTGCTATCCCATAAGAAAGCACAAAAAAATTTATTCTATCCGTTTTAAAACTCGATTTAGCAAGAACCACAACACAAGACAACGTATGTATGGGGATACCGAATAAAATAGCTTTAATGAGCGTGATCTTTGCACCTAATGATAAAAATTTAGACTTCCGATCCACCCCTCAGTCTTTCTTGTAATTTTTAGTGTGAGGCCATTAAAATAAACCTCTCCCTTGAAATAATGAAATAGATGTATAGGTCCCGCAAAGGGTGGTCTAGCGGTTGGAACAAGTGAGTTTGTGTCAACAATTGACCCAGTTTGGGACAATGTAGGCCATTTTTACAATTTTTTAAAAGTTAGAAACATGTTTGAGTAGCAAATTTTCCAATATTTTTGTTGATTCCCTAATTATTTACATAATTTAGTAATCAATTGCAAATTGCTAATGAATTTTATTTTGAATATGTTTGCATGAAAATTTATATAAAAAAGAATTTATATATTAAAAAAAACTTATATATGCTTATACAACATATTTATAAATATACCACTATACTTTTACAGTTTTACTTACACGTTTCCCTAAGCTCAGGTATCCCATTTTTGGGATATGCCGTTTCCCGGAATTTGTTCCCCCATTTCCCAGTATCACCATTTCCGTACCTGTGCTACATAGTCGTGAAGGCATTTTTTTTTAATTAAATCATTGCAAAAACAAAACACAAATTTGCCTCAAAATCCAATTTCCCATGGACAACATGCAACAAACTAACATTTTAGATGGGCAATATGCAAACAATATTTTAAAAGGAGGCAATGTGCAACAAAAATAATATTGTAAAGGTGCAACGTGCACCCAAACACTCAATTTCGGGAAATAAACCATCAGAATTTGGCTATCGGGACAACGTGCAACAAAAAATAGCGATTTGCAGGGGGCACTCGCTTTTGTTTTTGATGGGTCGAAAGTGCACAAATTGGAAATTAATAGGGGTAGAAGTGCAATTTGTCCTAATTTTAATTACAATTTTTCCAATTAATCGACCTTATATCCAATTAAAGATCTAGGTCAGCATATCGTTTGTAGGTACTAATAACCCCCAAATTAATTCAAAATATTACCGCCATTTCTAGGGTTTCAAACCCAATCAGCTTAATGCTGCACTAAATTGAATATGTAGGAAGATCTATTGGCGAAGGTCCTCGGCGCGTGAAGATTGTGGCGGCAAAGATATGTATGACTGGTGGTCGCCGGCGAATGCGGCACTTCCGTAACCTTTGACGGGAGTTGGTGGCGCGTCTAGGCAGCTGGAAATCAGGGTTGAGCTGCGGTGGCTTACGGCGGTGCTCGTGGCTTACGGCGACGGCAAGATAACTGCTCAAATTGGTGGGTATCATCAAGGTACAATTAAGATAATATGAAAATGGCAATTTTTATTTATTTTTTTATTTTATTTTTGAAGATTAAATAATTTCTGGCTTGATACCATGTTTGAGATAATTAAATTGAAAGAAATTAAGGAAGGAGAACGCGTTTCGATTTTCTTGGTAAATAACTTCATTTTGAGCATTGTATATTTATATATAGAATTAGACAATAGGTATCAATTAATCCTCGTTTTCTACGTAAAATAAGAAAACTATCCAACGTGCTACCGTGAAACCCACCTTCGTTTATGGAGCAAAGCAGCTCTTATTTCAACACCATTGTGTAACAAAGTATTGGATTGAAGTTAACTCTCGTAGTACTCTTGAAATACTTATCGAGTTTCGTGCTTTCCGATCCAAGACACGATGTCACTGAGAATGTATCTTTCTCGCTATTACGAAATCTTTTCAAGAACATTGCGATCTATGTGTATAATACGAAATTGGTGTCTTGCACATTCTATCTAGTGAAAATCACGTGTAATTGATAATGCACAAAAGTTTCTTGAAATGAGTTTTTCGTGAATTTATAATTAATTTGTGACGATGTGTTGGGGTACATCTTATAATTATATAACTAAATATTATTGGAAGGCATTAATATGTTTTGAAAATGAGAGTTGTGACTTTTGAAACCGGCAATTGATTAGAATCTTATTTCTCTCCTTCCCTGCTTGATTTCCATTTTTTTGGGTTATAGGCTTACCTTTTTTAACCATGTTATTTAATATAATGTACAATTCTTGAAAATGCACTCATATACGAAATGGACGGAAAATTTCTTAACTGGTGCTGTTTGGAATCCTACGGTATTATGTCCGTCACTTTGTCTTTTTAGTGCATTATATTTTATGTATTCGGACATTGATATACATAAAAATGACAAAGCGTAATGAACATAATAAATTGATTTAATGCAGTGTATGCATAAGGAAGAAAGTCGTCTTGTAGAAATTTAGCAAGGTGCGGTACAAATTTTAAAAAAAGAATGTATTTTAAGATGTCCTCACCAATTTCGTTAAATTCATATTAGATTTTAGTTGTCTCCCATCTTCTATAATGGTTAGTCGTTAAGAAAATTGATATAACTTTATTGTTTTATATTATTCTTCTTTCAATTTTGTAGTATTCGAAATAAGACTGTGATTTGAATTCTCTGATAAAAATGAAAATGGTAAGATAGATTCTGAACAAAATTACTTTTTTAGTCCCGACAGGAAGCAGTAAATTTTGCAAGTTAACCTTTGTTGATTTCGACAATTTCACACAAGTTAAATGGAATGTTTTATTGATAACCATAAATCTGTCAAGATTACGTGACATAAACACTCGTTGAATCAAATCATCATCAGATTGTTATTATTTGAAGTTCGTGTATTACCGAATTCCGCCAATTAAGTTTAAAATTGCAACAAATGATGTTACTTATTGCATGTGTGAAAATTTCAAAATCCGTGATTTTTCTTACTGATCACAAAATCACAGGCATTTTAGGATTCGATTAGTAAATTAATCTTCTATGAACATTGGACTTACTGGATTTCCACAACTATTTTAAGTTCTCGGAAAATAAATCGAATGCTTGAGTGGGGTATTCGTATAATATCAGAAAATAGCATAGGTGTTCAATATAGCTACATCACCTCTAATATATACGTGTCGTGTTCAGAATATTCTTTAGCACACAGATTTTGATCGGAAAATCGAGGGCCATAAAATAAATTATAGAAACACCGAGGCAGAACGTAGTGACGTAATAGGGAGGTCGTCACTCACTATACTAATTTCCGTAAAATTCCAAAGTTACCTAACGTTAGCTGAAGTATATCTCAGCAAAACCACGATATTAGTGTGATGTTATGTGACCTAACTTTCTGTTGCAATTTTTTTGTCGTAATTTCCTCGCTAGTAAATGCCTCTTTTTGCACGTTCTGTATCAATGCACCGCTCATCGAAGAATCGGGAAAAAAGTCGATAATACCCTTGTCTCTAATCACCTCACGCCTAGGAAATCTCGCCTTTAGAACAAAATTTCATTTACTATTTTCCGGGAATTATGTTCTCACCGCATGACGTGGAATAGGAGCAAATGCGAGGTGTCCATTTTCGAATACGACTATAAAACGATTCACCTAACTTCAACCGAAAAATTAAATAAAACCATCCAAGTTTACAATCACATATTACATATTTTTTATACGATGCTCTAGCACCCTCCATGGGGCAATCACAATCCAAAATGGAAGGCGAAAGCAGTGAAGTTCACGAATTCCCGGAAGAAATAATCGAGGAAATTCTCAAAAGACTCCCGGTGAAGCCTCTCGTGAGATTCAGGTGCGTTTCGAAATCGTGGCTCTCGATAATCTCGAGCCCTGTTTTCATCAAGCTCCATCTCGACACCTCACTGAAAAACAACACCACGCACTCACACACTCGTCTCATATGCGTATCCGCCGATCCACAAAACCACTTCAGAATTTTCCCTCTCCGTCACTTGATGGATGAAGAAGAAACCGAAACCGAAACCGAACCGATCACTTCGGTTTCTTACAACGCTGGTTATCCAGACGTACCCATGCGGATAGTCGGCTCGTGTCGTGGCATGGTTTGCGTCGCCTTGAATGAAGAGAAGTTCTACTTGTGGAACCCTTCAATCAGGAGGCAAATACTTTTGCCCCCTTTAAATATCTGCCCTGAATTCGATTTCTATATGAAAGATGGGTTCGGTTACGAAGAATTCACCGACGATTATAAAGTCGTCGCTATTTTGTTCTGTAATTCCCGTGCAGGTCCTTTCAAAGTCAAGATTTTCAGCCTAAGGGCGAACGCGTGGAAGAGAATCGAGGATTTCAAGTACGGGAATCCGTTGGATAATTCTGGTGTGTGCTTGAACGGTAAGCTCCACTGGCTAGTGGACGAGGATAGTTACCCAGGTATTGTTTCTCTTGATTTGCTAACCGAGGAGTACGCGAGAGTGGGCCCGCCGTATAATGCGTCAGACAATTCTTGCGCGATTGTGGAGTACGACGAGCCTTGTCTGACTTTAGGGTTGTTCAATGGAAGTCTGTGTATGTTGTCCGATGACCATAGAACGAATATGGATTTATGGGTTATGAAGGATTACGGGGTGGTGGATTCTTGGGATAGGGTGGTTAGGGTTTCGCATTTGGGTAATCCTGGTTTTTACCCTCACGTGTTGAGGGTAATTGCGTTGGACGAGGATCGAATATTGTTCTTGTACGGATGCGTTGTAGTTGTTTACTCTTTGAAGAATTGTTCGTACTGGTACCCTCCGACTGATAGTGTGGCTGCAGTTCAGCACGCGGATGTGTTTGTGGAGAGCCTCATTTCGCCTTGTGATTATGAGGCGAACCGTATGTAAAAGAAGTGTTTTTTTTTTTTTCTTTCTTTCTGTAATGATTTTCTTGCTTTTAGTGTGTCCGTGGTGTTTCGACTGTGTTTTTCAGCTTTGGTTTGGAATAAATGTACTATTTTGCTTTGGTTTAAATCTATTTTTTGTTTAATTCTTGGTTTTTTTTTTCTAGTGATGATTCTACTAGTGCATGCTTTGTTAGTTGCGTGTAAGGTGGTGTTTGCAAAAGCTTTTATAAACAGATTCCGAGTTTTTTTTGTTTTGTTTTGTTTTGTTTTGTTTTGTCCGTAATCTAATTATAGGAGCAGCAAAATGAACTTTTGCATTTGCTTCTCTTAAATCAAGTTGTCTGAAGCTATAATTTAAAAGCATTAAACAAAAAATAGATTTAATGCTTTGTAATTTTTTTAACCAACGAAAGAAATACAAAATTTTGGAGAGACTATCGAATTAGTCTTGCTATTCTTTCAAATTCTCGTTTATTCTTGAATCTTGCTTCGTGGTCATTAATACTTGCAATCTCCATACGAAGGATCAACAGTTGTTATCATGCCCAAAGCGGGATCACATGAATCTTGAACATAGTAAATCAGATCTAGAACATAATTGGCATGACTCACTACAGTGTTGGGATCGTAACAAGGACCGCCTGGTTGAATGACTGAACAATCAACAATTCCACAACCATATTCTATAAATGCTTGCAGCTTGTCTTGAGGAGCATTTGGTCGGGAAATGCACCAATCGGTAGCTTGCTTCCGACCATTTAGTTTGGAGCTTGTCTCCGAACCATATACAACACAAAAAATGCAACAAAATAAAAACAAAGACACAACATTGATTTTGTTCATTGCAGCTTTGTCTATATACTTTTATTAACGTTTTTCTTTGCAATAAAAAAAATTGACAAGTTTATTGAGTTTAAATAGTAACTACTTGCTATGTAAAGACGCAATCTGCGAATTACTTTACCTCAATTATATGAAAATTTGATTGGTAATTGATTATAATTGTCATATCACAACAATTTATAGCCTACATAATCAAATTTAATACCTTGCGGATGTGTTAGTATATATATATTTATGTAGTTGAAAACTTTGGAAATGATTCAAAAATATAAGCCACAAAAGAATATATTGCGTTGACCTGTGATTAATTGGTCCTATATCCATATAAGGCACAAATTATGTTTCAGCTTAATTAGTTGTATAAATTGTCAAAAACAAATTAGTTGTATAGGATTGGCAAACGGTCAAGATTTATGGAGTAAAATCTGGCAAAATCAGTAATTTACATTGTGATTTTAATTTATACAATTTTCTAAAAAAAGAAAAAAATTGATTGTGATTTTCTATTTACCCTAATATATAACTATTCGTCATTTAAGCTATAATAAATAATGGGTAAGTTACGATCACCCCCGAAATAAGATCGAATTACGAAAAATCTCATTTTGTTTGGGTAATTACAACCACCTCCCAAGTATGAATCCTTGTACACGTCCACATTTATCGTGTCAAATTCAACAGAATCTTTTAGGTTTCATGGAATGTTCTCTAGTTTGTACTCATTTTGTGCAAAAAGATAGTTTCTGATGTGTCACAATCTGATATTTAAAAGCTAAGAAACACATCTTATGATCATCTCGTTTCAAAATGAGGAGGTATAATGGGATAAAACGGGTATAAACTGGAGAATACACCTCATAATTTAGAAGATTACATTAAATTAACACCATAATGGCGTGTAATTAAAAAGATTCATAGTTGAGGAAGGTGATTGAAATTATCCAAACAAGATCAGAAGGGTCACCGTAATTTACCCATAAATAATTCAACGAAATCAAACCATTGGAGAGAAATTTTCCTATCGTTTTCTTACTCAAGTATTTATGCATTTAACATCATCAAACCATTCTCTAAATCAAGCTTCAAAATATACTACAAATTGTATTCATAGTCCCAAAAATTACAATTGTTGTGTGCACAAAATCTAAACTCATATATATCTAAACCCGAAAATAATACTTGAGAATTTTCAACCTGATGATGCTTCAGTGTAGCTCACCTAGGGGGTATGGAAAAATGAGTTGGGAGAGCAAAGCGGATCAGTAGCTTGATAACTCGATGCTCCTGAGGTCCCTACAAAATAAGCACACGTGAACTAAGCCGGGGGTTGATCCGGCGGAAACCCCTCCGACGCTCAAGTCAGATGTACAGATCGTAGAGAGAATAAACTCGTGGTGGATTATAATAATGAGAACGTACCTTTACAAATGAATAAAACTTCTATTTATATGTCGTTGATTGAATTGGGCTTATATTATTGGGCCCAAACCTTACTTTGAAGGTACTCTGGCTTTCGTGTAATGGGCTCGAGTACTTTCGTGTATTGGGCCTAATTATTAAATAAATTGGGGCCCATTGGGTCGGCCCAATTAGGTATATCATTAAGCCCCCCAACTCTCGATTCGAGATGGGGACTTGTGTAGAGGGATCCCGGTCGTGTCGAGAGTTAATCGCGTCGTATGTTGAATTGTTTCCGTTGGTGGTGAATTAATTCCTTAATTTGAATAAGGGATTATTGTATTTATTTGGCAGCGAGGTATATATTTAAGGGTTTTAAATATTATACCAGGGCCAGATAAATAAACTTCTTTTGCGGTGGGAAGAATTAAACTTCAACTCGTGCAATAAATATGGGTATGTTCTTTGAACTCTAGGTCTTCTTCTGTGCTCTTGCAAATAATTTTTGTTGTAGAGTAGAAAATTTGTTGCCTTTTGTTTTTTTTTTTTTTTTGTGGGAGAAAATATAGTCATGTCGAATCCGGGTAATTCGAAATCTTTACGAATTAAACTTCGAGATCCAGTTGAAGGGAGCGAGAAAACTTTTGGTACTGTGGGTATCGGGAGCGAGAAAACTTTTGGTACTGTGGGTATCGGGAGCGCGAATGTAGTCGTACCGGGTGTAGATGCCGGATCCGAGTCATCTGTTGTACGGATCAAGGCAAAAAAGATGGTGGTTGGTAAGGTTGATATGGCTACCGGCTCGAGCCGCGGAGCCAAGCCGCTCAATTTGTGTGGGGGCGCGCGCTTCAAGGAGGGTGTGCAGCCAAGCCTAGCCAATGATGTGGAGGCTGGCACAGTTTCCAAGGAGAGGAGAGAGAGTAGGGCGGCTGAGGGGGGGGGGGGGGGCGCGTCTGGCACGCCGTTCGAGGGTATGACGCGCGCGTTGGTGGAGGAGAGAGAAGGGGGCGCGCGCGCGTCGGTTGGCGGGATTGAGGGACGCGCGCGCGCCATTCGTCCACGTGTAGGTGCTGACGCGCGCGTTGATGAGTGGAGTCTGCGGCGACGCGCGCGCGCGTCTGGTGGGCTGGGTGAAGCGGACGCGCGCGCGGGGGCGAGTGTGGAGGGGCCACGTGTCGCTGTGGCCAGTGGGGGGGGGTGCACGTGTCGCTGGGACGGTGGGTGACGCGCGCGCGCGTGGATCTGACCCTTTTGGGGCGACGCGCGCGCGTGGGTGCGCGTTAGAGCCCGGTTTTGAACCCGGTTTGTCCGAAATTGACGGGCAAATTTCCGAGGGTACTGATTCACTTGGTGTTTTAAACGGGGGAAGTTTTGGTCGGCGAGAAATTATTGAATCGTGGAGTGACGATGTAGAAGTGCGTAACAATATTAATATTTGCCCTACTGTTGATGAAGCGGATTCCAGTAGACGTCGCTATGGGCATCGAGTCGTAGATTTTGGGAGCGATAGTGATGATTCGAATGAAGCTCCTTTGGCGAGTGAACATCCGGTGTCAAGTAGTGAAGTTGAGCCGATGGTCGAGGAGGAGGAGGAAGATGATATTCCGCCGGGTGATGTTGAGGTTGATAGTAGAAGGCAAAAGAAAAAGAAGCTAATTAATTTGGACTTAGTTGATTTTGACAGTGTATTGACTGAAGAGCAGTTGCATTCTATTCGTCGTTTATCTGGAGCGCCGAGTAATGTGGAGTTGTTGTTGCCTAGGAAGGGCGATCGCTTGTATTCGCCACCCGATGGGTTTCATACGGTATTTTTGGGGTACTTGATGTGCACATCTCAGATTACACCGCATCCTACCTTGTTGAAGGTTTGCGAGGAATTCAAGATTGGGTACAGTCAGTTAACGCCCACTGCTGTTCTGATGTTCCAGGCATTTCATTTTAGGGTGGTTCGAGTAGGTCTGCCTGTGTCTGTGAGTTTAGTCAAGGCGTTATTTACGTTACATCGGCCCACTAAGATGCCTTTCTTTTGCTTTCATCCTCGCGTTCATTACCAATTCGTGAAGAGTGTGAAGCTATCTTTGGGGAAATGGAAGACCTATTTCTTTTACGTGAGGGCTCCCACTTTTGACGTTCCCGTAGTTTGGAATCCTACGTGTGAGAGTTTCGCGATAACTGCAAATATGGCGAAGAGGATTGAGGAATCTGGGTTGTGCGATGTGGAATTTGATCCGAGGAGTTTGATACCGACGGTGGAGGGTCAGCATCGTATATCCTTTTGTTGCCTTGAATTGTTTTTTTGTTTTTTTTTTTTTTTTTTTTTTTTTTTTTGTAGTTCTTTGGTCATGTATACCTCATGTTTTTTATGTGTTTGTTATCTTTTGTAGATGGTGGTATCACCTTTGCGGCACTTCGAGCGAAGGCGAATGGGACGTCGAAGAAGGCATCGAAGAAGGTTCCCTCTAAGTTGGGAGGTTCTTCGAATGGTTTGCCTCGCGAGGAGGTTCATGTAGAAAGTCCTCGAGTAGTAGCAGATGATCGTAGCAGTGCTGGCGTAGTGGAAGAGCGTCCACCGAAGAGGGATCGTGGCAAGGGAAAGAGGGTGGATACTGAGTATGTGGCTGTGCCTAAGCGTCCACGGGTAGATCCAGAGGAGACTTATGCTTTCCATGGTGGAGGAGGGAAACAATTGTTTACCTATGGTGTGAATCGCGACGGTAAGGAGTCGTATTGGGATGCGTCGGACCATGATTTGCCCTTGTTGAGTACCGAGGGATTTGTTCGGGAGTATGATCGTGCTCGGATGTCTGGTAAGGGTCCTTCTCACATGTTGGAGTTAGCCGGTGGGGACATCTGTCGGGTGAGTCTTTGTTTACTTAAAACGAGATTAGGCGTTACTCCCTCTCTTCCTTGTGTAAATATATATATTTTTTTTTTTAGTTGGTAGCGACTTGGAGATACCTCGTGGAGCACGGTAGGAATGCGGAAGCTAGTAAGGAAGAGGATCGGGCTCGAAGACAAGCACGTGAGGATGAGCTTCTAAGTCAGTTGGAGGAAGCGCGGTCCGATCTCGCTCTACGCTCTGAAGAGCTTGCTCGGAGGACAGAGGAGCTTGCTGAGAGGACGGAGGAGCTCGAGGTTATCCGGGGTGATGCGAAGGCTTATAAAGATGATGTTCATAAGTTGAACGAATGCTACGATCAGCTCAAAGAGAAATATGAAGCTGAGAAGGCGACGGGGAAGAGGTTCCTCGCGACATCAGGTGGTGCGGCTTATAAGGAGTCCATTGTGGAGGAGACTAAAGCTAGTTTCCGAGGTAGTGATGAGTGTGTTGCTATGATTGAGGAGCACGCATTGGCTGTGGTTTATAAGCCATTAGTGCGTGCTTGTCGCAAATATCTGCGCGATGCGGGTGGGATCAGCGAGGAAGTGATTCGTGGAATGGAAGCTGGCATATCCGATGAAGAGGAAGATGAAGTAGATGTTAATGGGACGGGCACAGAGGTCGTGAACGACATGGTTGCGGATGACTCCACCGTGGGTACGTCGTCCGCTCGCGGTAGGGGAGCTTAGACTTAGTTGCTGGGATAGTTATCCTTCTCCCCCCTTTATTTTTATCACTATTATGGTTTTTTTTTTTTTTATGGATTTCTTAGTTTGTTTTTATCGCTGATGTAGATGGGTATGTCCACTACTCTTTCATTTGATTTTCTGCCTTGTTTGACTTTGAAATTTAATATCTCGATTGATTTACTTTGACATTGTCAAGACTTATTGCGTTGCTTATATGTATTTACACTTAGCATTGTACGCGATGTACTTGAGGAGGGGATCAGTCTCCCAAGGTTTTTGTTAAGGGTCGTGCCCTTTGTTCGGACCGCTTGGGTCTTAAATATATTTGTCCGTGGCCACGTTTTAAAATGAACACCTCGTTAAACAAGTGAAGGGACTTAGATAATCCAGCTGGCCAGGCTATATGGATTATCTAAATCTCTCTAAGTGTTTATAGGGTGGTATTGAATTAGACTCATGATGAGAAGTAGTTCATATCGATGTAAATGCACAAATAGTAAAACGAAAATTGTGATATATTTGATGATAGCATAGGATAATTGTTACAAGCCTGTGTGAGGCGAATTTAAATAAATCGCTAATGCGATGGGCCTACATGAGGCGGAGGTAACTAACTACTGCTAAAGCAATTAATTGTCTTGATAATAAAAGAAAAATTCTTCTGAGTGATTGTGCTACACTTGTTCTTCTTCCACGTCTTCCTTGTACTTGGTCGTTTCACTGTGCGGATGGTTGATTGACTTCTTTTGGTGTCTTTGTGCCTGTCAAGTACAATTGAGAAAAAGAGAATCTATTTAATCGTTTGTATTGATGATGTAGTAATTGAAGCTATGGTGATGTGTATTGCTCTTTCACGTACCCTACTACGGGGGTTGATATTTCTTTCTCGCGCTCCCAGATATGAAATGAATTCGTGAGTTGCTGCGAGTTGCTATGCAATCCTGCCTGCTGGTGGGATTATTTTGTCACGTTAGTAATCGTGAATAAGATTATCTGTGTGTTGAATTCTAGTAGAAGTATAGTTACCCTTGGTGATGTGGTATGGAGTGTCTTCGATCAAGCAGCGCATTGATTGATTCATATACTTCCTCACGTAGTAGGTTCTCGACCTGTAAGGAGACGATGGGATGTGATTATAAATTTCTGATGTAAGTAACAATTACTAGCCCCCCAGTTTAGGAGGGACGTTAACGCACCTTGTTATGTGGTGTCAAATTTCCAACCATGTATAAGCAGCTTTACAAGACGAGTGACGTGGAAGATTGTGGAGCCTGCATGGGTGACAATTTGTAATTAATCTTTCTTTAGTAGAAATATGGTTGATGATCTCAACTGATCAGAAGTAAGGTAGATGTATACCTTAGGCGTAGAACCGTTTGAGGTTCCCTATATTCCATGTTCTGGGTATAGGGTCTCCGTCAATGTTCTCGAGGCGATATGCTCCAGTGTTGACCACCTTTGTGATTTTATACGGTCCTTCCCACTTTGGGTCAAGCTTTCCGATGGGGTGGGAGGCTTCAGCTTTTCGGAGGACTAGATCTCCGACTTGAAATGAGCGAGGGCGAACCTTTGAGTTATATGCCTTGGCCATGCGTGATTTATACATCTGTTGTCGGATGTATGCGATCTCACGTAACTCATCTACGAGGTCTAGGCTTCCCCGCATAGCCTCTTCATTAGCTGTTGGGTCATAGTTGGTGACTCGCCAAGATGGTTCTCCGATTTCGACGGGTGCGATTGCCTCTGTTCCGAAAGCTAGATTGAAGGGAGACTCTCCAGTTGCTGCTCTTGGGGTTGTGCGATAAGCCCATAGTGCGTTAGGCAATTCGTCCACCCACTTCCCTTTGGCACTTCCAAGCCTTGTCTTGAGGTGTTGGAGTATGGTGCGATTCGTGACCTCCGTCTGGCCGTTAGCTTGTGGATTGGCTACGGATGTGAAGAACTGTTTGATGTCTAAGCCGAGGCACCAATTCTTTACTTTGTCACCACAAAATTGGGTTCCGTTATCTGAGATAATGGAGCGTGGGATCCCAAAGCGACAGACGATGTTCTTCCATAGGAATTGGATGACTTCTTCTTCTCGGATGCGTGCTAAGGGTTCAGCTTCCACCCATTTGGTGAAGTAGTCCACTGCTACGATGAGGTATTTACGTCCTCCTGTGGCGGGCGGGAATGGTCCGACTAAATCCATTCCCCATTGGGCGAAAGGGATGGGGCTGTCAATTGGCTGCATTAATGCCGCTGGCAGGTGAGGAATATTTGCATGCTCTTGGCAAGGCTTACACTTTCGGACCAACTTCTTCGCGTCTTCATGCATCGTTGGCCAATAGTATCCTTGCCTCAGTAGTTTGAGAGCTAAGGTCCTCCCGCTCAAGTGATTGCCGCAGATGCCTTCGTGTACTTCTCTAAGTACGTAATCCGCTGTGGTCGGGTCGAGGCACTTGAGGTAGGGGAATGAGAACCCTCGTTTGTATAATTCTTCTCCCACTATGACGAAGCGGGCGGCTCTCGTCTTTAACTTTCGTGCTTCGTTGGGATCTGTTGGGAGTTCTCCGTTCTTGAGATACTTCAGGATTGGAGTGAACCAGCATGGTTCATCCTCTTCGGTGTACTGTACTTCAGTGGGTGAAGTTATCTCCGGCTGGAGTGAGGTGAGGAGCGTCACCTTCCGACTTCCAATGCTGGCCATGGAGCTGCCTAGCCTAGCTAATTTGTCTGCATGGACGTTATTGGCGCGAGGTACTTGTCTTATCTCATAGCTCTCGAATTTAGACAAGAGAGTGTGTGCGAGAGCTAAATATTTGGCCATGGTGTCTTCCTTGGCCTCGTACACTCCGAGTACTTGGTTAACGACGAGCTGAGAGTCGCTTTGGATTAGGAGCTTGCGCGCTCCGGCTGCTAGGGCGAGGCGGATTCCCGCTATCAGTGCTTCGTATTCAGCGACGTTATTTGAGGCTGTGAATTCGAATCGTTGAGCGTATTCAAACTCATCTCCATCAGGATTCGTTAGTACAATACCTGCTCCCCCTCCTGTGGTAGTGGAAGATCCGTCGACGTTGACAGACCAGGTAGGTAGAGAAGTGTTCTCTTCTATGGAAGTCATTTCGACTAGAAAATCTGCCAACACTTGCGCCTTGATAGCTGGGCGGGGTTTAAATTCCACTCCATATTCACTTAACTCTATTGCCCATTTTGCTAATCGTCCGGATGTTTCGGGACTTCTTAGTATTTGCTTCAGAGGGTAATTGGTGAGAACCACCACCTGATGTGACTGGAAGTAAGGTCGAAGCTTCCGTGCTGCGTTGATGAGGGCGAGAGCGAGTTTCTCCATGTTGGTGTAACGTTGTTCGGCTCCTTGGAGGGCGCGACTTATGTAGTATATGGGTTGGTGACCCTTTTCTCCATTTCGGATGAGGATTGATACGCGTTTTCCTCACGTATAAATTACCGCAAGTATACGGTATCGCATTTTGCAGAACAGTGGTTCCGGATATCGATCCACAGGGACCTTGTAGATTCAAATGCTGAGTAGTGTAATTATATTATCGTTATATTATCTAGCCGATCGTAAATAAGTGGATTGGTGAGAAACCCTAATTTAAAAGCATGCAAGAACGTAAACATGCAAATATAAAATGTACGTAAAATAAAGTAACGACAACTCAACGCGGGGGACTTCGATTTAAAAGGGACTTCTAGGGCCAAATCCACCTAGGTATAATCAACAACGATCGACAAATCCACCATCTAAAATCACGTTCCTATTCGTTAACCCAGACGCTAATATACTCTAACCCCCGTCTCCAGTGTAGCTAGAGTCTACCCACAGGTCCGACGTCTCCGTTCAGAACCTGCTATTAAGAGAGCATTTAGGTCAAGTCCTTAAGGGCTACCCGAAGTGCATCACGTCTCCGTTTCCACACCCCGGGCTATGTTTTCCTAACTTCAAACAAGAAATCCTCTCTCGAGTTCATTCCTATTTAATATCAGTCTGAGAGCTGATCAACACAATCAGAAGCATTTAATACAGGAAAACATAAACGAAATCAAAACACGACAATTAGAAAGTAGAAATGACGATCGAAATCAATATATACAAGGCTTCATTACCCTAGAAGAAAATGTTCTTAGTTCATAACAAACATAGTATCAAAAGAATGTACAAAGGAAATGAAGAACAAAACGTAAAGAAATTGCGTAAGAAAAACCCAAGTCGGAACCCCCGTTGATGATTCCCGCGAAGAACCGTCGAAAACCGTAAAAAGTCGAAGAAGAATGAAGAGTGAGGGCTTGCTTCTATTTATAGTAAATTGCAAAGCTTCCTCAAGAAGCTTTGCAATTTAAAATATCTAGCCTTAAAAACGCGCCAGATCGCGATCCAA